AGTAGGGTTGCCTGCAAAGCTCGGGGTTTTTCTCTGGGTCCTCCGATTTCCTTCAACTGACTCCTTCGCATGAATTAAAATTATATTATAATAAATTGTGTTACTCCCCAAATGATCTAGCCTTTGTTGAGTGGACGTTAAACCCCATTTCTCTCCCAATATCATTACATTTAAACGTGGATTAAATCTTGACAAAATTTAATAGCACACTGTAAGGCGTGCGCGCTTTTCAGTCACACTGTCGTTGTAGACAGAAGTAGGGCGTTAAGCCCTATTTTATTTCAGGTCATTTCTAAAAATGAGAAACGAACAGCTAAGTTGTTATTGAGTAGGAGTTAAACCGTGTCCTATTCGCCATCAACGATAAAAAGTAAGATGTGATCAATAACCATTGAAAGAAAAAAACATGGACGAATATTTTCTTGATCTGTTGTACATCAATATAGTTTTATATATATGTGGTTATAGCCCCGGGCTCCAGCAATTATAACACATCCTTACAATAATACCAACCCATATTAAACTTCGTTTCGTTTCCGACCAGTACGTCGATAAATTCCTGTTTTTCTGCGATACCATGTTATTAGTTGTTTGGTAGTAACTTTTGATGTTCATCTTGTTTATTGTGACTTTTTCTTTATCTAATGATTCCGTTTCTTTAGTTTGACGAGTAGCTACCCATTTCTTTGATCATTTTAAATTCATCAAGTCTCCATTTGTAATCGTTTGCTTAATGGTCATGTTATTCTTTCTGTCTTTGTCTCAGTGCCTCTTTCATTTCTGAGAATTTTATTTCTAAAGATCTGTAAGCGTTTTATGTGGATAATTACGGATCCAATTATTTCTAAATCCATATTTTGAGTTTTTTGTTCTTGTTTTTGTTGATAAACATTTATAAAAGCCAGAGGATATAATGGTATAGATTTAGGAATGTCTGATCAACATGGGGATGAAAGAAGTACTGTTTTTATTAAATCTTCAAAGAATATAGGTGTATTTGAATTGATAATATACAAAGTTGCATTTAACAATATTCAAATCCAAAGGGTATCTATTGTTTTCTTTCAGATCAGTGTTTTGTAAATAGGGTTTGGTCAACATGCATAACATCTAATATTTATTTTCTGCCATTCTCGATATGTCTGTCGTGCATGAAGCAGAGAAGACTGTTTCTCAACCTTTTTCCACTCGCGATCCCTTCGGACATTTTCCTATATTGGGGGTTCGAGTGTGTACCGCCACATAAATCTATGATAAACCCTAAAACAATGTACTTCAACCGATAACATAACGATAGGAATTCCTACTGATGTGACCCTGATATATGGTTATGATTGTCAGAAGACCAAAAATATCATACTGAATTTTACTTGGCTATCTTTTACTTTGCGGGCCCTAGGTTGAGACGCCATGGCGTAGAGTAAGATTAAAGTTTAGTTTTAGTGTTTGCAGTATTAGATATACGAGTAAGACAAGACAACAGTCTGATTAGATATGTACTTCATTGACATCTGGTATATTCTCAGAATACATGCACGTATGTACCCGTATTGGTACACCGGGTGGTCCGTTTTGGATAAATATGGGTAGTTTGAAACCAAAACCTATACGAGTGATGTTGTTGGATTAAGAGTTATGTCTGACTAGTACAAATATAATTCTCCCCAGTAGAACATTGCTTGTGTTAGAAGATGGGTTAGCATAGAAGACACGAAAAGAACTTGTAATCTTAATTTAATTAAGTTGCTATGTAGACGCCCAATTTACAAATTCTTAAAAGCTCCAGGCAGCCCTGGGTTGTTCAATTACATCATGATTTGAAAGAGTAATAACCCGGTTACCTTTTATCATAAAGCGCATCTTGATAGTAATTGGGGTCTTTTGTGTTGTTATTTCCAATTTTATATGGCGCGTGTGTGTATTGGGTGGGTAGGTTGGGGTGCATGGAAGTCGAGCGATTTAGACACTAACCTAGAATATCCATGGTTCCCAGGCGTCGGCGTAGGCCGAAAAGAATCTTTGGGGTGTGTCAATCCCAGCGAGGCAAACAAGGGAAGTGTAGCTAGTCGTTCGGACAGTACCAAAAAACGTACACGTAAAGGAACCATAGATAGTTGGAGATAAAAGATAACTGGGTGAAACGCGGCTGCACACGTATCCATAGAAATACAAATTGTCTTAACGTTGACTAGACATTAAACCCAATTCCATTCCCTTCCAGTGATAGTTTATATATTTATATATCCTTTAACTTACTTCTAATGCCTTAGGCTACAGTTAACAAATTGTCGAGATTTCAGATTTAATTATGAAGACACTGTATGTGTAATGAGAATGCACCTATTGGCTGGTGCTGGCACGCAACAGATGTCAGTTAGACGGACGGTGTCGGTGATATAACGAATGAACGGTTATCTGAACTATGCTGTAAAGCGAATGGAGTGGAACGAACAAATAGATGAACCGACAACCCGGACATGACGAAACATCCATCACCGAAATGTTTCAATGTCAGATACTCCTTGATGAATTCAACAGTTGCTATGTTAATAAATGTATCGCTGGAACCATTATCGAGTATGGCATATTGTAAAGTGTGAATTGCTTCTGGCACTTAATTATTGCGAATATGGTATATATGTCGTGAAACGAATAGGGTATAATGAAATACTCTGTTCATTTATAGGCAAACATGTATGGTTAATTTTATTTCTATTGTTACGCGTCTTTCTTGATTTCCAACCGGGAAGTGTTTTTCGTATCCATTCGGACGACTTGGCACAATTTCCTTGTTGACAGCTAAGGCTTCTTTTTTATGTGCACGTCAATGTGTACACGGGTGGACGGCGGTTGTACGTCACACCCGAACGACTAAACAGCACTAAGCGCTGCTACCTCTGAAACGTGTAAACTGGGCTTGAAGACAACCTACATGTAGGTTCTTCTGTATCTGTACTGCAATTGAAATATCCCTGTCTGTTTGATTTGAAAGAATTGCTTGTGAAACGCCGCTTCCCGGCAAAATAATATTGTCCCCTCATTACTTTACACATACCCCAGACAAAAACTTATTTGTCCAAAATGCACGAAAGTTCACCCCCATGTCCTTTTCATTCATACCTGTTGTTGGTACGGGGGTATTATTACCTCCACGTTAATTAAGGTAACCAAGGGGAATCCATTCAACGTAACGGAAACCGGTTCAGGTCTATAATTTATGCATCAAGAAAATGACGTTTAACTCCCTCTCAGTGAGTTACGGTTACCCTAATAAATTAGTTTAGCAACGTAATACGAGGCTACTAAAATCTTAATGGATTTAGAATGACTAATAATGATCTCGGGCCAGCTGGGAGTAACCTATTTATTGAAGTGCTTGAACACTTAATAAATTTCACATCAAAACACTGCAGGGTCTAAAACGATTTTAAGTTTGATAATGGTATCATCAATTACGTTTAGTATTTAGAATCAAGTGCGCGTGTAAATAGGGTTCCGATTTCAACAGTTTGATAAATTTGAATTGAAACGCTATATCACATTTACGCGTGTGTACCCATTCATATACAAATGAATAATTCAAACAATGTTTATAGGTTAGTTAGAAAATTCGAGATAAAATGCATAAAGTGGGCAACGATTCATATACAAATTTATTTATTTAAAAGAGCATTATGACCCTCACTATGAAAATAACTACATGTAGTAATAAGCAAAGAAATGGAAGGAAATGTGTTTAACGTCCTACTGTTCTGCTCCCTCCGACTGGGCTAATGAAAACAGGCATATAGGAAATTCTGCCCGGGCAGCGACACTACATACTCTTAGACTGACTTCGCTCAGGTATGTTTCGTTGCAATGACTTGCATTAGCAATTTAATAATTTTTTGACTTTTAATTATAAATAGATCGAATGTCTCTATTTGTCGTTTATTCTCCTGGAACAATAATCTCCGTTTTAAAATTTTACTATTTAAAGAACACCTGAAAACTAATTTTGTTGTACTTTTCTATTGTCGATGGATTACCGGCAAGTATAGTGTATATATAACAACAGATCAATGGCATTCGTCTTCCAATACTCCCTCGTGAGCGCAGCCCCTTTACTTAAAGGGACAATAACACTCTTGCTGGCTTGACAGCCCCAGAAAAAAATAGCCTTATTCTAAGCACTAGATGTGTTAGTGTCCTACCTGTTGTGTAAATTATCCATTAAATCCTATTTTATTTGTCCAGAGGGTTCAAAAATATTTTTAAATCCAAGTCACATTTGAAAAGCTTTACGTGAGGCTTTTCAAATCATTTAGTTGAATTTTTCCAATTTTTTAAATTAGGTGTGTTAAGATGAAATTTGTATCATCAATTAATTGAAATATTGTAAAATAGTATAATTTGTTGACCAGAATAAAGATTGGGACATATTATTCAGTTACAACAAGAGTGCACGGTATTGAGCCTTTAAAGATACATTATGTAAGATTTAGATAACGGGCTGGTCGTTCTTCCTATATCAGTTCGAAAATAGATAATGAAAAATGAAAATATTAAAAACTTCCATTCAAATCACTTTATTCTGGGCGACGTTATGACTGAAGATGAAAAGTAGATCGTTTATTATAGTAGCAATAGTCCTTGACAACCGCGACTGTGTCTGGATTATCCGTTTTATCGTTAATTTTTTTTAATCTTCGCGGGTGTTTAAAGCCATTTAAATCTCAGTCATCTGATGACCCAGAGAGTTGGTTATAAGCTTGACATGTTAATAAATGCCTTAATAATAATTAATATAAATTTTAAAACCAGAAAAAAACTGCAATAGGCTGATTTAGCTTTTACATAGTGCATCTTTAACTTTCAGTAGCATACCGACCTGCTTTCTATATCCTTGTTATTTAAAGTAATATATAAAACAGTTTTGTCTCCTCTTGTGAATTATGTGCCGTGAAAAACTTAAGAACATAATATATTTGTTCTACCCGTCGTGTGCTAAAAACATCAACGTCTGCAAGTAGCCGGTGAGTGATTTAAAACAAGTGAAATATTTATAATAAACGTCAGAGGAAAATATAATTTATCACGTATTACTAAAAATAACTTGACAAAATACGAAACTAAACAAAGATATGTCACATTTATAAATCTAAAAAAGGGTGATTACGAAAGACCAACATAAATGGTAAGTTGTTTGTGTTAATTCATGTCTATTACCAAATGAAATGAAATGAAATGGGGTTTAACGTCCTACTGTTCTGCTCCTACTGAGCTAACGAAGGCGAGTATACTCCATACAGTCTGCTCTCTCTCTCTCTCACACACACATACACACTCTCTCTTTCTTTCCGAGACACGATGGCTCAGTGAGTAAGACACGATGGCTCAGTGGGTAAGACGCTGACTCGGGGTGATTTCCCTTTGTGAGTGATGCAGGGCGGAGGGCCTGACAAGGACAGCTGTCTAGTTGTTCGGATGGGGCGAAAACAGAGGTCCCATGTACACATTGGCGTCCACGTAAAAGATCCCTGGGCAGTTGGAATTCGATACAAGAGTAGGCGTAGAGCCGATGTCCGGGAAAAATTCCCCTCGTAGCACACTGTAAGGCGTGTTCATTAGACCAGCCGGAACGGAACAGTAAGACGTTCAACCCCATTTCATTTCTCTAAATACCTCAAAACAAGTAGTGTGTAACTGATTGCATACCACACACTGTAACGATAACTACCCTATATGATAATTTGTTGAAGTAATCATACCGACAATAAAAGAAATGTAGAAATTGTTTAGAGGGTAATGAAGATATAAAAAGCTGATGATGGCAATATGAGTATGATGAAATGTTCTGCTATAAATATGTTGGCAACTTCTCTATCTATGAGCTGAACATGTTAAAGAGAATAGAAAGGTTATACTGGGTTTTGTCATCAGGTACAATGCTACTATTAATCATAATTATGATATTTTCACTTCATGATTTGCTAACATTTTTCGCTTATTCTACTTTTCGCCATTAGTTTGCTCCGATTGGCTCGGCATATATCATATTTGTTATATACAGAGAAATGCAATAAACATTGAGGGATTTTGTGGGATTTTGAAATGGTACCCGGAACTAATTGTAAATTATACTAGCTCTGAAAGGAATTGTTTTGGTGTCGAGCGCGAGGCAGAGTATTTTTATCTATTTATTAACACCTCGTACCTTCTACTGTCGTTGCTGGATTTTGCCATTTTCATCCTGGATGCCCCGAGCTTTATTTTTTCGTATAAGGAAGGCCAGGCAAGGAAAACATATAGTCGTTCAGATAGGACGAAAAAATCTTTAGTCAAAAGTGTACTCAATGGCATGCCCGTAAATGAACCATTGACAGTCGGAATTCGATGACTAGTACTTAGAAATGCCAGTCCGGGAAAAATTTCCGTCCTAGCACACATTGCTTCGCGTATCCCTGTCTTCATTAATCCGGCTGGTTCAGAAAACCCCATTTTATATTTAAAGTAGCTAAGTCTCTAACTCAATATCATCCAAAATCTTCAACATTGAAAACCCAAATTATTTGTCAATTTAAATCAACATTAATGCTTTGATATTACCGGAAAAAGATGAGCTTCTGATATCCAATATTTAAGACAAAATAAACATTTTACCATTGGTACACGAATCGTGTACCATAATGCGTTTCAGCCCCAGTTCTAGCAAGAGACTCGAGGAACGAGGCTAGACATATTACACCAAACATAACTGATTTTAAATTAGAGTAAAAACGGAAACCATTGAATGTATATCAGTTTATATACATTCATAATACAGTATTATATGAGTTCCGACCCACTTGTGTCAATTTCTAGGTCCCAAATGTTAGCGATTTAGCTCCTTTAATGCATTGTTATTTTAGCAGCTGGCCAGAATCAATCATGATGGATTTCTTAGATAATCACAGTGTCTTAAAGGGGCTAAACCGCAACGTATATAATAATGTAATCTGATTGTATATAAACTGATTTACATTCAATTGTTTCCGTTTTGACTCAAATTTCAAATCAGTTATGTCCAGCGAAATACGGCATGAGTCTCAACCGAATAGCAATTTCTAGCGTCTGGTTATTCTTGTCTATTGCGCATGCTCTCCAGATAAGATATGGCGTCACCGTTTGACATGAGTTGTGAAAATGTCTAGCCTCGTTCTTTCTGGTCACTTGTTACAAATGACGCTGAAACGCACTGAATCGTAAAATTTTTCGTTTTGTCTTAAATATTGAATATCAGAAGCCTACCTTTTCCTGGTAAGATCACAACATCAATGTTGATTTGAATTGACAAATAATTCGTGATTTCAACATGTAAGACTTTGGATGATATTGAGTTAGAGACTTGGCTACTTTATCTGTCTCGACTTTAATTGCGCACAAGGAGGCGGGAGAAGTATATTTTACCCACATAAATTGTTTTCGGCAAAATATTACATACCGTATTTAAATCTGTCATAATGTTAAAGTCCTACGTCATGCTCAACTTTCATTAATAAAGATGCATTATGTAAAATTTAGACAAAGAGCTGGCCATACTTGCTATATTAGTTTAAAGATAGATAATGCAAAATGAATATAATATATTTAAAATTTCATTCAAATAATTCTATTCTCAGCAAAGTTATCACCGTCTGAAGTTCTGAAAAGATGTGGCATAGATTGTTTATTATGGCAACAACGGCACTTGTTAATCGAGACTTAGCCTCGCTTCACCATTTTAAAATTAAATCATTAAATGGCGAAATAAAACCGTTTAAATCCCTGCCATCCGTGTTGATTATAGGCTGATTATGTGAATAAATGTCTTAATAATAGTTTATATAACTTTTGAAGCCAAACTAAAGACCCACAATAGACAGATTTAGCTCTTACATAATGTATCTTTAATATATTTTGTAAAACCAAACCCAGCCCATAGTTATCTTCTACAAATTGGAATTGTATTCAGAAATCCAAGGTCAAAACTTACGTATAAGACGTGACGTGTGTCCCGTACAAGGAATGGAAATCGCACGCTTTCTAGAACACTTAATACAACTTTCATTTGAGAACTCTAAGTAAGATAGCTAACAATATTCGCTGTACCTTTGTACTCCACGCAACGGTTGAGGCTATTGGAATCCAGGTCCAATCTATTACACAATATGTCAACTGAACTATGTATCCATAATTACATGTAGTCACTTGAACTAAACAGTGCAAAAAATATTCAAATTTCTTTGTGCTCAATTTATTCACAGACCTGTAAGAGAGAGAGAGAGAGAGAGAGAGAGAGAGGGGTCGTTTCGCGACTAATTTTATTTCAATTATTCGCTTTGCGTAGTGGACTTTAGCAGTGAGAGGAAACCGGAGGACCCGGAGAAAACCCACGAGGATGTACAGGCGACCTTACTTCTTGTCACGTACAACTGGGGAATCAAAACCACACTAGTTGACTCAATGACAGACCTTATGATGCAAAGCGCACGCTCTAACCCCCCCCCCACACACACACACCCACACACACACCCACACACACACACCACCACCACACACACCCAGACCTACTAATATGAACAACTTTAATAAACCCGATAAAACTCGGTGACTAGTCCTTGTACATATTTATTATTCTAAAACGGAATTAATTTAATTAACGGATTCGGAAATTTAGTAGACATGTGAGGATTGCTACAATTAAGTGAACTGATTAAAGAAGGGCCATCGTCTTTTCAAATCCACTTTCAATCGGCAATGTGGCTTTAGGTTTTTAAATGAGCAAACGACGGTTGCTAATTCACGACTGTTCCAAACCTGACGAAACTCGGATCTGCCCTGAATACTAATTACACGAGGCCTGCTTCCAGGAATAACATTTACAAGAAATTGAGACCATTCCAACAGTGTAACTTGAAACTTGGGATTACTTGATTAATGTTGAAAACAAATTGTTGCTTTTTGACATTGATATATCCCTCATTACCGTTTGAAATGAAGCCATTTTGAGAAAAGATCCTTTTAAAGAAAGAAAAAACAAACTTGAAATGCATTAATCATAGGAAATTGTACATAAGAGATGATTCTAAATACAGCATGTTTCAAGAGAATATCAAGTAGCCTACATGTCATCTATTATAAACACACTGCAAGGAAGATTTTTTGTCTTCAGAAGAACAAACTGTAATTAATTAAAAATTTAAATGAAATATTTTTAAAAATAAGCGGATAGGTAAAGAAATCTTTTGTCCGAATAACGCAGACTTCGCCCGAATACAATTCTGGAAAAAAATCATAAATTTCAATACCTCTGCCCGATTATGCTTTGTAACCGACCTAGTAAGAATGCAACAACCCATTTAGCGTCGACTCACTGCTAACTTCTGAGTAGCCAAACACCAGTTTCAATATTACAATGTTACGTTCTGATTAACTAGAAGCCATACCCCCCCCCCCCTCCATCAGTTTATTCTTGTAACTTCACGAGCTAACAGCATCTATTGGTTTATTTTCTCTTCTATGTTTTGTGGTATCCCTGTACAGCTTGTATAAAAAGGAACACTAAGAATATGCCAATGATTCACAATTTGTAAGACGGTGGATGGGCGGCTGATAATTTTCCAAAGGTTAAACATACATTATGCAAGAATTAAATCTGCCTATTGCAGGTCTTTCTTTAGGCCTGAAATGTTATCTAAATTATTAATGAGACATTAATTAACTTATCCCGATCATAATATACTCTCGATGTCATCGCTAGCCTGTGATATTTACTGAATTAGGATTTTATCCGCTGCTCTACGCTCATTCATGATTAAATTAAGAAATAGACAATCGAGACTGTATTTTATCGTACCGACTTTAGTAATAATGATCGCGGCTAGGCCCAAAATTCAATGGCTAAATTCTCGGTTCAGAGTGGATCAATTTGATTGAAATCTTCAGCAAATTCCCTTTACATTATCTAGTTTGTAACTATAATTGTGAGAACTGCCAACTCTTTATTTAATCTCCCATAATATATCTTTAACTGATCTCAAAGATTATAAAGCAAAATACAACTGTTTAGAATTACTCTCGATTAGTTAGGCCATCTAGTGTAATCCTGAAAACATTTGCCCGAGTAGTTTGAATATACTTTCAAATCAATGATTATATATTTAGGGTATCGACTGT